GTATGGCCCCACAAATCAATATGAACAATATCAAAAACAAAACAACATATTTTATTACTTGCTTTAAAGGAATGTCTACAATGCTTTCTAAGTAAAAATCCCTCACACTCTAAACTGGACAAACTGACAAACTCAAACAATTTAGGAAACAAAAAGTGCAAAGATAGGATGCAAAGCACAATCTGACCCACTGACTCTGACTCAATACTCCTGCTGAATGATGACTCTGATGATTGAAAAGTGCATCAAAGATGTATCCTTTTGATTCAAGAATTGTCCATATCTCTCCAATTTGGCCCTCACTGCAGTTGCTACAATAGATTCTAGAGAGGCTATAGTAGGTAGCCCTGATAAATCACCAGTCACTGCCATATTCACATTTCCCTTCTTATTTCTGAGTTGGCTCAGTACAAGGCGTGGATAAGGCTTCAAGTAGGTATCTTTGGGTTTCTTACATTAGTCATAGATCAGATCCCTTTTGTCCTCCTTCCTCGATTCATTTCCACCCATATCCCCACTTAGCTTAGGCATCATCGTGCTAACCATAGCTGATTGCTCAAGGCATGGGTTTTTCATCATCACATTTTTCATACTCTCTTCTGTAGACACAAAGGCATATGCCTTGGAGAGTGTGTTGGAGCGAGGGCGTTGAAAACTAGTTTGTTACTGCAGATGGCTTTGAAATTTAACCAACAAGTGTCTTGGGGTGATGAGTGGTATGTTAATGGTGCAAATGGTGTTGCAAGGGATGATTTTTTTGTGGACGACCTTTTTGACTTCTCTAATGGGACAGAGCAACAAAAACAATTGAATTCAGAGCGCAATAGCTAGCATAGGAGAGCCATTTATAATTGAACAGACGACGCCCGTGCTAATACCCATTTATGGGGTGGGTTCAGGGTAGGGCAACCCATCCATTTCCTTGCCCCATAGTCAAGACACTCTACCCCATCCCCAGTGTCACATGGGTTTGGGGCAAGGTAACCATTCCTCAAAGTCGGGCGAGTTCAAGGGCAAGGCACATCACTCCTCACCAAGGACGGAGAATCCTCGAATTTCCTTGCCTCGTCCCCAGTATTGGGCGAGTTCAAGAGGTGTAAATTGGGTCGTGATGGGTTGGCACGACACGACCTGCATGTGGCCCGCACAAAGTGTGAATTGTGTCGTGCTGGCCCACAAGGCATCCCGGGCCATGCCTCCCTCCTCTAGGATAATTTGGGGGGTTGGCTCGGCATGGCCCACGACTCGAGCTTTCACGGACCCGTGCCGTGCTGTGGATCGGGCTGGTCCAATGGTCGGGCCTTGAGCCAACCCATGCCATACACCAGGCTAAGCTTAAGGCAAGGCACCCACTCCCCGTCCAAGGTTTTTAAAATTGGGCCGGATATGGAATCGTTCTAGGGTCGAATAGTCTGATTGTTCGGTCCGAATGGATGACCCGCTCTAACAAAAAAAAAATAGAAAAACAAAAAAAGGCCAAAAACTGTTATCCGGGTTGACGGTTCGACTGCCCAGGTCAACGGTTCGCTAAGCAAGTAAACAGTTTTTGGACAAAAAGTGGTTTTGAGGTGAAACACTGCCTGGTTCTGAATTTATTCCGGTCTAACCATCTGGTTTGATCCAGTTTTGAAAACACTATATCCCCATCAACCGAATATTCAATTTGATGATAGAAATGATCAAAAGGATATATTGAGTATCAACCACACGGTAAATTTCTAAAAGTACACTAAATTGTCTTTAATATTCAAAAATGTAATTTTATGAAAATTTTTAAAAATTTATTGTACCTGTGTAATTTTGAAAATTTATTCAAATTCATTTAATTTTTTATTAAATAATTTATTTTCTTTTTAAATGGTTTACTTATAGAATTATACTAATTTATCTTACAATTTCTAATATAGACTAACCAATAATTTCCTTTTTCCAATATTATACTAATTTATCTTAATAATTTATGTAATTATTTGTTCAAATAATAGTTTTCCATTTCCCATAGTCATTTATCTTTAATAATTTTCAATAATTTGCAACGAAAATTACATACTTTTTCAATGGTTTTCCAAAATCTATCAAATGTAATAAATTTTCCTAAAGTTTCCAAAATATTCTAATAATTTTCAATAATTATTTAATGCATTTTACATAAACTTTCAAGTACTTTATATCTTTTAATTTCAAAAATGTTATTTTACGAAAATGTAGTTTTATGAAAATTTTTGAAAAATTTATTACATTTGTGTAACTATGGGGATATATTGAATTTTTTTAAATTGTTATTAAATATATTTTTTTATTTGGTAGTTTACTAACAAAAGTACATTAATTTATCTTTTATTTTTCAATATAAATTAATTAATAATTTCATTTTCAAACATTATAATATTTTGTTCCCCCATTTGTTTTTGGTTATTAATTATAACAATGACAATAACTAATTTTTTGTACTTTTTGATAATTTTTAAATATAATTCTCAATTTTATAGAAATTAGTTAAAGAGTTTTCAATTTCTCTAAAATGTTGTTAATGAGTTAATTAATAACAATATTTATTAATTTTTGGTAATTTACTAACCAAAGTAATAAGAATATTTAAATTTTGTTAATTTACTAACTGTATTTATTAACTTTTGGTAATAACACTATTTAATACTCATTGAATATGGATGTGATTAAATATTAACCGTATTTAACTATTTATTAATTAATAT